CAGTAAAGCAACAGCAAAGAACTACAGACCAATAGCACTAACATCCCATATCATAAAAATCTTTGAAAGGGTCCTAAGAAGCAAGATCACCACCCATCTAGAAACCCATCAGTTACACAACCCAGGGCAACATGGGTTTAGAACAGGTCGCTCCTGTCTGTCTCAACTATTGGATCACTACGACAAGGTCCTAAATGCACTAGAAGACAAAAAGAATGCAGTTGTAATATATACAGACTTTGCAAAAGCCTTCGACAAGTGTGACCATGGCGTAATAGCGCACAAAATGCGTGCTAAAGGAATAACAGGAAAAGTCGGTCGATGGATCTATAATTTCCTCACTAACAGAACACAGAGAGTAGTCGTCAACAGAGTAAAGTCCGAGGCAGCTACGGTGAAAAGCTCTGTTCCACAAGGCACAGTACTAGCTCCCATCTTGTTCCTCATCCTCATATCCGACATAGACAAGGATGTCAGCCACAGCACCGTGTCTTCCTTTGCAGATGACACCCGAATCTGCATGACAGTGTCTTCCATTGCAGACACTGCAAGGCTCCAGGCGGACATCAACCAAATCTTTCAGTGGGCTGCGGAAAACAATATGAAGTTCAACGATGAGAAATTTCAATTACTCAGATATGGTAAACATGAGGAAATTAAATCTTCATCAGAGTACAAAACAAATTCTGGCCACAAAATAGAGCGAAACACCAACGTCAAAGACCTGGGAGTGATTATGTCGGAGGATCTCACCTTCAAGGACCATAACATTGTATCAATCGCATCTGCTAGAAAAAATGACAGGATGGATAATGAGAACCTTCAAAACTAGGGAGGCCAAGCCCATGATGACACTCTTCAGGTCACTTGTTCTATCTAGGCTGGAATATTGCTGCACTCTAACAGCACCTTTCAAGGCAGGTGAAATTGCCGACCTAGAAAATGTACAGAGAACTTTCACGGTGCGCATAACGGAGATAAAACACCTCAGTTACTGGGAGCGCTTGAGGTTTCTAAACCTGTATTCCCTGGAACGCAGGAGGGAGAGATACATGATTATATACACCTGGAAAATCCTAGAGGGACTAGTACCGAACTTGCACACGAAAATCACTCACTACGAAAGCAAAAGACTTGGCAGACGATGCACCATCCCCCCAATGAAAAGCAGGGGTGTCACTAGCACGTTAAGAGACCATACAATAAGTGTCAGGGGCCCGAGACTGTTCAACTGCCTCCCAGCACACATAAGGGGGATTACCAACAGACCCCTGGCAGTCTTCAAGCTGGCACTGGACAAGCACCTAAAGTCAGTTCCTGATCAAATTCAAAGTTTATTCTCTATAAGGATTACAATGCTGAGTTTACAGAAATTTGGTTATTGTTTGGTTTACATGTAGTAAAATTGTGATTACAGAGTGTACCACTAGAACGCTTAGCATGGCTAGGCATTTCGGGCATACTTAGTTTTATTCTTAATTGTAAAATATTACAAATTATGAGGTAAGTTGGTATTATGGCTAAGTGACTAAATACTAGTTTGTGAGTTTAGCAATGTGAATGCTTTTGTTTTGGCACAGTATATAGTTTCAGTATTGGAGTATCACAGGATTCATTATTTTAAGACTGAGATTAATATTTCTGTTTATGGTCAAATGAGTGAGCGAGTGTAAGTGTGATCAGCCGGGTTGTGGCTCGTACGTTGGTTTGCGTGCAGCCAGCAGCAACAGCCTGGTTGATCAGGGGCTGATCCACCAGGAGGCCTGGTCACAGACCGGGCCGCGGGGGCGTTGACCCCCGAAACTCTCTCCAGGTCTCCAGGTAATGGAGCTGAAGTGCCTATATGCAGTAATGTGCTGGGGATGACTTGGGGTACTGAGAGAGACTTGTTATTGTTAAAGTCTCATAATTCCAGTATGCCCAACAAATTAACCCAGAGAGCATAGGCTTAGTGTCACACCTTACAATAAGAGGGAAATTGTTAATACCAGAAGCATGGAGGCTTGAGTGTGCTTTGGATGGAGCCCTACCTGAGGAGTTAACAGGTGGAAAGAATTAATGGGTGATTATGTAAATACCAATGTTGGAGTTCCCAAGCCAGGTGGCCAGTGAAGATGGGAAAATTGTCCTCCACGTTATTTAAGTCGTCAAACAACGACCTCCGCCCGACCGCAGTGTGGAAAATAAATTCCCATAATTATACTGTTGTTGAGGTGGTTCGGACATGTAGAGAGAATGGAGCGAAACAGAATGACTTCAAGAGTGTATCAGTCTATAGTGGAAGGAAGGCGGGGTAGGGGTCAGCCTAGGAAAGGTTGGAGAGAGGGGGTAAAGGAGGTTTTGTGTGCGAGGGGCTAGGACTTCCAGCAGGCATGCGTGAGCGTGTTTGATAGGAGTGAATGGAGACAAATGGTTTTTAATACTTGACGTGCTGTTGGAGTGTGAGCAAAGTAACATTTATGAAGGGGTTCAGGGAAACCGGCAGGCCGGACTTGAGACCTGGAGATGGGAAGTGCAGTGCCTGCACTCTGAAGGAGGGGTGTTAATGTTGCAGTTTAAAAACTGTAGTGTAAAGCACCCTTCTGGCAAGACAGTGATGGAGTGAATGATGGTGAAAGTTTTTCTTTTTCGGGCCACCCTGCCTTGGTGGGAATCGGCCAGTGTGGCACTGGACAAGCACCTAAAGTCAGTTCCTGATCAGCCAGGCTGTGGCTCGTACGTTGGTTTGCGTGCAGCCAGCAGCAACAGCCTGGTTGATCAGGGGCTGATCCACCAGGAGGCCTGGTCACAGACCGGGCCGCGGGGGCGTTGACCCCCGAAACTCTCTCCAGGTAAACTCCAGGTACATGATTAATGCATTACTGTTGTTCTAAATTGTATTTTGAATAGAACCAACCGGGTTCGCCCTGCGCCTGTGCGGATGTGCGGGGGGGGAGAGGTCGAGTCAGGGCATGGAGAGGCGGGAGTGTTTTGAATGGAGTGAGGAGGCTGTAAAAATATGGGACCAGGAAATTGGCGTTCACGGTGGCCTAAGGATTAATATAGGCCTCACTTCATAATAGGAAGTGTCGTAACTGTTCCTGGTGAAGAGTGAGGGAACGTGATTTACGGGACCACCGTAAAAGGGTGGTAAAATGAGTGAATAATGGTAGGACCGGGTGACTGGTGCGCAGCCATGGTGTGTGTCCAGGGGAAATACCCGTGAGTTATTCCTCACTCATCGGTCTCAGATCTTAATGGAGTGACCTCTAATGTGTATAATAATTATGAGACATTAAATCGTCTTGTGAATTGTAGTGTAATCAGTGATAATAACACTAAGCTAAGAGAATATGTGAAGTGAAATGAGTCGCCGTTCTCAGAGTGAGCATCTGTTTATCTCGTGTTCCTGTCTCGAGGATAGTGAAGTTTTTATGGAGTCACGACTTCTAAACCGGGATAAACCAACGAATACCTCGTCCTGTTGGAATAAGAACTGTGTCGGTGTAGCAGGACATCGAAATGAGATGGTGAATGGAGGAAATAGGAGCATCAATCACCCACATTAAGTAACCCTTCTAGTTATAGCAGACTGATACTGGCCAGTTAGGTATGTTGTAATTGAATAGGTTATGGGTGATCCAGCTACTTCAAGTGACCACCAGAGAATATCTTGTAAGTGGTGGGATTATGTACAAGTGTTTTTCCTTGATGGATATATCCATGTGTAACCTACGCCCCCCCCCCTTCATTCAGTTAAACTAATATAATCTATACAGTCCACAATTAATTAGTAGCGCCGTACTTGAGGGTGCTATCCAATTTATACTGGAAATAAGTCACTCTGTCTAACTTTTTTGGGTTATCCTAGGTTCTCTACACATATGCTGCTATGTATGATAATTCTATGTAATTGTATTTGTGTATACCTGAATAAACTTACTTACTTACTTACTTATGGATAAGATTGTGAGGGTCGAGGGGCCACCTGCAGTGACCAGAGGTGGTTAAGTTTTCTCACATGTCTACACGGGGTGACTACGGTAAACAATATAGTTGTTGTCTACCAATGAGATTACTCGTATGCATGCAATGTTGAGGCATGTACAAGTAATCAACCCTACAAAATTTTCCACAAGAACCTTAGGAAACTTACCTAACGTTATTATAACAAGCGCAATTTAATTTAGCCTAATCCAACTAAATATATTTTATATAAGTTTACAACAATTTAATAATAAACAAACACAATGAAATATATTTTTTCGTTAGGTCCAGAATGATTTTTTTGCGAAATTATTGCGTACACAAATTTTCGCTTGCCCTATTCAGCAAGAAGTGCGTTGCTATTTAAGCCAAAATCGCTGTTGTTACTGCTGCTGCTATTGCTGTTGTTGTTGCTGCTACTATTGCTGTTGTTGCCACTGCTATTGCTGTTGTTCCCCTCAAGGAAGGTTCCTTGATGTTGGTGAGGGGCTCTTGATTTAGGGAATTGGATCTATGCTCCAGTTCCCCGAATTAAGCCTGAATGCTTTCCACATCCCCCCCCCCAGGCGCTGTATAATCCTCCGGGTTTAGCGCTTCCCCCTTGATTATAATAATATTGCTGTTGTTGTTGCTGCTGTTATTACTCTTGTTGCTGCTATTGCTGTTGCTGCTATTGCTGCTCTTATCGCTGTTGTTCCTGCTGCTGCTATTGCTGTTGCTGCTACTGCTATTGCTGTTGTTGCTGCTGCTACTGCTATTGCTGTTGCTGCTGTTGCTACTGCTACTATTGCCGTTGCTGCTGCTGCTGCAACTGTTGCTGCAATAATCATCACCTAATAATCCATAGGTATTGCAGCGATGCCAGACATAACAACCATTTCAGTACTGGCGTTGATTCATCATTGCCATCTTCAGCTTTCCGTGTCCTCGTCTCTGAAAAGAAATTTCACCATGAGCCCTATGATTTAAAGAACAATAAATATGTGAATCACTTTGTATTTTTATTAATATGTTTGTTGCCAGTGATGGCGCGGTACAACATTTGTAATGGGAGTCGCGTTGCCAGTGGAGATAAACACAGATTTTCGTGCTGTTCATTCCATTAAAATATGATTTCTCTGGCCATTCCTGAGCTGGGAACATGGGAAGGAAAGATATTTATGGGGATTTTGGGCTTCACCTGGGCCACGTATATGTGGGAAGAATATCTGGCCTACAGGCAGGTAAGATCTTAGGGTTGTGTTGAAGGTGATCCTCGTGCACTTACCAAGAGTAAGTTACCTTCCAGATGGTTATTTATAAGTAACAAATAATATGCTGACAAACTTACAGTCGCACAAATCCCATATACTATATTTCCTTGAAGGTGGATGTTGGTGTGTTTGACTTAGCTCATCCGGTACAGCATAAAGAGATGATTTATTTGTGATTGTTGGTGGCTTCATTTATGAGGCACCTTTCCCTAGGAACTTCTAGCTTGAATGTTATCAAGTTTTGTCCTTTAATGAAGGAATAATTTAGTTCTTTTAGTACAAATTCAAAACATACACCAGAAAAGCATTTTGAATCCATATTGTACACTTGTAATTGATACAAATGGCAATTTACTTAATTATGAGAAAACTATTGTGTAGTATGAATTGAGATTTTACTATTTTAAGCACATGATGACATACTTCAGTATTATTATTTGGTAGCACTGTATATTAGCATGATGTTTGGATTATGGCTGTCTTTTACGATTACTCTAGTAAGTAAATTGTATTACATTGTACTGGCTTTACCCATTTTACATCTTATTGTATCTTACTTTGTATTTACTCTTTCAAATTCTTTGAATAATACATTCTCCTGCCTTTTTATTCAGACCTTTTGTAGTACAGTAGTTGGTCTTTATTTGAGTTTCAATAAGTGAGCAGTACATGTTTCTTTATGCGAGCAGTGCTACTACATATGCCAGTGACATACAGATTACATAATTTTTTTTTTTCTAATTTCAAATTTTTCCATTCAGCGTCGAGTATACAGAGAGAAAGTGGAGCCACCAGAAGAGTTGAAGGGTATAATGGAGCGGGTTACATATGATAAGGCTCGAGCATATGGCCTTGACAAGAGTAACTTCAGCCTAATTGAGGGAGCCTTCAGTCAGGTTTTGAGCACAGTAAGTATTCTTTCTCTTGTAAAAGTTGCTAATTTTTCTTTTTTTGATTAAATTTATACATGTACTCTTTACCTGCATGAGAATTAAAAATAAATTTTTGCTTGTCTGTATGGTAAACTATAATTCTTCATCTGTACACAAAGAAAATCTCCCATGAGAGCATGAGAAAATTGGCACTCTTATCTCGAGGTACCACTGTACTATATAATAGTACAGTGGTACCTCGGGATACGAACAGCCCAAAACTCGAACAATTATGTAAGTGTATTTATGTAAGTGCTTTTCTAAGTGTATTTTTGGGGGTCTGAAACAGATTAATCTAATTTACATTATTCCTTATGGGAACAAATTCGTTCGGTATCGGCACTCGAACAGCCTTCTGGAACGAATTAATTTCGTATCCCGAGTTACCGATATATATGCAGTATTTTATTTATGGGAAATGCTAATTCTGTGTGGATCATTCAGTGAAAAATATGTTTGAGGTTCAACCCTCCATATGTCAGTCATGAAATGAACATGCTCTTGTCATAATCAGGCTTCCCACTAGAGGCACTTTTAACACCATTGGGGTTAGTGGAATAGTAAAGTTGTGTATATTTTCTTTTATGGCAGTTACACTGCTGTTAAGAAGTAAAAGAATGGTGGTGGTTATTGTAATAATAATAAAAATTACATAACTACAGTATATTCCTTTATTTTGTAAACATTTTGATGGTAATTTCATAATGCAGTTATACAGTTTTATATACATGAGTAGGGCAATAATACAGTAGAGTAATAATACAGTAATGAGCTAGGGAGATATTACAGTGTAAGAGTAACACAGTTGGGCATACTAAAGTAAGAATGACATGTGATTCTATTATCAATTAAAACTTGAGTACAGTACTTTTAAAAAAAAAGTTTAAGAGCCTCTACATATGATAAAAAAAACCCTTTCACTGTCATGACCCCTGAAATTAAGTGCTTGTTTCACAATTTAAAACAAAAAAATTATCATCTGAGATGGTAGAGAATGTTTTCCTGAAGGCAATGACTTAAAAATGCGAAATTTGCTGGAAAACTTGCAAAATTACGCAGGCAATTTACACATCAGTGATTTTGTCCTCTTTGAAGCCTATTTTAGGTCAAATCCATTGCTCAAACTGACCAAATTTCTGTCTGATTTCATTGGTATACCTTCTGTTCTATCAAATTAGCACAAGAAACTGCCCATTCAGCTATCAGAACTAACCTATAAATCACCCAGAAATCAGTATTATGGCTAATTTTACACAGAATTTAACAAATTACAATTTAAAATAAGCACTGTGGGCATTCCAGACACTAAAGCAATTTTTCCTCTGTTCTCTAATCATGTCCCCAGGCCTTTCCAATATGAAGCTTACCCTCCATTTTGAATCCATCATCACCAAAAAATTTAAATTTTACCCTATTTCTTCTAATAAAATGTAACCATGGTTTAGTCCTTCCAAATAGGTACAGTGGAACCTCGGCTTACGAATTTAATCCATTCCGTGGACTTGTTCGTATCCTGATTTGTTCGTATGCTGGGTCAATTTTCCTCATTTAAATTAATTGAAATGCAATTAATTCATTCCAGCTGAATTCCTGCTCTCAGGAGGCATGACAAAATAACCTTAATATCAACTCTGTCACAATTCATCTAATATGACATAATAAACAATATAAATATCATAGAAACCTGATATACACTCTAGAATGAATAAAATGTCATCATGTGGACAGCAGAGGGGAGGAGGATTGTGGTCACGAGAGTGGTCGTGCATTCTCGCTACAAAAACGTCAGAGGCGTTATTGTGAGAGAATACGGAGTTTGTGAGGCTAACTGAATTAGATCTGGTGTACATACGACATTTATATACCATGGAGAAGAAATGCAGATCGGCATATCCTGTCAGGAGTTCACACTTTTCTTAAGAACTGCTATGTGCAGGTTTTATGTTTATCTCGCTACACTATGTATATCCTGTGAGCTGTTTCTCCGTCAACCATGTCAACAGCAGCTTTTCTATCTTTCCATTGTTAGAGGTCCGCTGCTTAGAAATTACTGTAACGCCCTTTGCTGGTGCTATAGCCTTTATAGACTCCTCCTGCTTTAGTATTGTACATATAGTAGAGGGGCTACGCTTGTACTCACTCGCCAAGTCCTTAACCCTCGTACCTAGTCTGTGCTTATTAATGATTTCTTGCTTTAATTCCATGCAAATCATCCTCTTTTTCTTCTCGGCACTGTCCTTTGCTCTTGCTTTCTTAGGACCCATGGTTAGAAGAAAGAAATCTGGCAAATTAACTGCACGAAACATAAGGAAATCACGAGAATTCCTTGCACTGCGAGGGTAGCTCAGTAAGCACATGTGCACTAGTGAGCATTGTTTTGATACACTGCTCTCTGGTGGTGGCGTTGTCAAACTAAATTATAAGCAGTACGTACATAGTATTATTGTACTATTTTTTTTTTCAACAAACCGGCCGTATCCCACCGAGGTAGGGTGGCCCAAAAATAAAAACAAAAGTTTCTCTTTTTAAATTTAGTAATGTATACAGGAGAAGGGGTTACTAGCCCCTTGCTCCCGGCATTTTAGTTGCCTCTTACAATACGCATGGCTTACAGAGGAAGAATTCTGTTCCACTTCCCTATGGAGATAAGAGGAAATAAACAAGAATAAGAACTAGAAAGAAAATAGAAGAAAACCCAGAGGGGTGTGTATATATATGCTTGTACATGTATGTGTAGTGTGACCTAAGTGTAAGTAGAAGTAGCAAGACGTACCTGAAATCTTGCATGTTCATGAGACAGAAGAAAGGACACCAGCAATCCTACCATCATGTAAAACAATTACAGGCTTTCGTTTTAAACTCGCTTGGCAGGACGGTAGTACCTCCCTGGGTGGTTGCTGTCTACCAACCTACTACCTAGAACTGTACTATTATGTATTATTATTATTATATAGTATTATATTATACATTATTATGTATTATTATTATTATTATTAGTACTTACATATTATTATAATTATTATTATTATTCTTTCTTTCTTTCAACACACCAGCCGTATCCCACCGAGGCGGGGTGGCCCAAGAGGAAAAACAAAAGTTTCTCCTTTCACATTTAGTAATATATACAGGAGAAGGGGTTACTAGCCCCTTGCTCCTGGCATTTTAGTCGCCTCTTACAACACGCATAGCTTACGGAGGAAGAATTCTGTTCCACTTCCCCATGGAGATAAGAGGAAATAAACAAGAACAAGAGCTAGTAAGAAAATAGAAGAAAACCCAGAGGGGTGTGTATACATATGCTTGTACATGTATGTGTAGTGTGACCTAAGTGTAAGCAGAAGTAGCAAGACGTACCTGAAACCTTGCATGTTTATGAGACAGAAAAAACACCAGCAATCCTACCATCATGTAAAACAATTACAGGCTTACGTTTTACACTCACTTGGCAGGACGGTAGTACCTCCCTGGGCGGTTGCTGTCTACCAACCTACTACCTATAATTATTATTATTATTTTTATTATTAATTTTGGGACCCGGAGCACAGATCCAATTCCCTAGATCAAGAGCTCCTCATCTGCCTTGCCTTGCCTTGCCTTGCCTTGCCTTGCCTTGCCTTGCCTTGCCTTGCCTTGCCTTGCCTTGCCTACCTTACCTTGCCTACCTTACCTACCTGCCTACCTTACCTACCTGCCTACCTTACCTACCTGCCTACCTTACCTACCTGCCTACCTTACCTACCTGCCTACCTTACCTACACCTGCCTACCTTACCTACCTGAACCTACCTTACCTACCTGCCTACCTTACCTACCTGCCTACCTTACCTACCTGCCTACCTTACCTACCTGCCTACCTTACCTACCTGCCTACCTTACCTACCTGCCTACCTTACTACCTGCCTACCTTACCTACCTGCCTACCTTACCTACCTGCCTACCTTACCTACCTGCCTACCTTACCTACCTGCCTAACCTTACCTACCTGCCTACCTTACCTACCTGCCTACCTTACTTACCTGCCTACCTTACCTACCTTGACCTACCTGCCTACCTTACCTACCTGCCTACCTTACCTACCTGCCTACCTTACCTACCTCCTACCTTACCTACCTGCCTACCTTACCTACCTGCCTACCTTACCTACCTGCCTACCTTACCTACCTTACCTACCTTACCTACCTGCCTACCTTACCTACCTGCCTACCTTACCTACCTGCCTACCTTACCTACCTACCTACCTTACCTACTGCCTACCTTACCTACCTGCCTACCTTACCTACCTGCCTACCTTACCTACCTGCCTACCTTACCTACCTGCCTACCTTACCTACCTGCCTACCTTACCTACCTGCCTACCTTACCTACCTGCCTACCTTACCTACCTACCTACCTACCTACCTACCTACCTACCTACTACCTACCTACCTACCTACCTACCTACCTACCTACCTACCTACCTACCTACCTACCTACCTACCTACTACCTACCTTACCTACCTTACCTACCTTACCTACCTTACCTACCTTACCTACCTTGCCTACCTTACCTACCTTACCTACCTTACCTACCTACCTTACCTACCTACCTACCTACCTACCTACCTTACTACCTACCTACCTTACCTACCTACCTACCTTACCTACCTACCTTACCTACCTACCTTACCTACCTTATGTACCTTCCTTATGTACCTACCTACCTACCTACCTACCCACCCAAACACCCACCCACCCACCCCCCACCTACCTGACATACCTGACAGGGAGGCAGCAACGAGTCATGGTACGTGAAGAGGTATCACAGTGGGCGCCTGTTACGAGCGGGGTCCCACAGGGGTCAGTTCTAGGACCAGTGCTGTTTTTGATATATGTGAACGACATATGGAAGGAATAGACTCTGAAGTATCCCTGTTCGCAGATGACGTGAAGTTGATGAGAAGAATTAAATCGGACGAGGATGAGGCAGGACTGCAAAGAGACCTGGACAGGCTGGACATGTGGTCCAGCAACTGGCTTCTCGAATTCAATCCAGCCAAATGCAAAGTCATGAAGATTGGGGAGGGGCAAAGAAGACCGCAGACAGAGTATAGGCTAGGTGGACAAAGACTACAGACCTCACTCAGGGAGAAAGACCTTGGGGTGACCATAACACCGAGCACATCACCGGAGGCACACATCAACCAAATAACCGCTGCAGCATACGGGCGCCTGGCAAACCTGAGAATAGCGTTCCGATACCTTAATAAGGAATCGTTCAAGACACTGTACACTGTGTATGTTAGGCCCATACTGGAGTATGCAGCACCAGTCTGGAACCCACACCTGGTCAAGCACGTCAAGAAGTTAGAGAAAGTACAAAGGTTTGAAACAAGGCTAGTCCTAGAGCTCAAGGGAATGTCGTACGAGGAAAGGTTAAGGGAAATCGGACTGACGACACTGGAGGACAGAAGGGTCAGGGGAGACATGATAACGACATACAAGATACTGCGGGGAATAGACAAGGTGGACAGAGATAAGATGTTCCAGAGAGGGGACACAGGGACAAGGGGTCACAACTGGAAGCTGAAGACTCAGACGAGTCACAGGGAAGTTAGGAAGTATTTCTTCAGTCATAGAGTTGTCAGCAAGTGGAATAGCCTAGCAAGTGAAGTAGTGGAGGCAGGAACCATACATAGTTTTAAGAAGAGGTATGACAAAGCTCAGGAAGCAGAGAGAGAGAGGATCCAGTAGCGATCAGTGAAGAGGCGGGGCCAGGAGCTGAGTCTCGACCCCTGCAACCACAATTAGGTGAGTACAATTAGGTGAGTACCTACCTACCTTACCTACCTACCTTACCTACCTACCTTACCTACCTACCTACCTTACCTACCTACCTACCTTACCTACCTACCTACCTTACCTACCTACCTACCTTACCTACCTACCTACCTTACCTACCTACCTACCTACCTACCTACCTACCTTACCTACCTACCTACCTTACCTACCTACCTACCTATACCTACCTACCTACCTTACCTACTACCACTACCTACCTTACCTACCTACCTAAACCTTACCTACCTACCTACCTTACTACTACCTTACCTACCTACCTACCTACCTACCTATACCTTACCTACCTACTTACCTACCTACCTTACCTACCTACCTATACCTACTACCTACCTACCTTACCTACCTACCTTACCTACCTACCTTACCTACCTACCTTACCTACCTACCTACCTACCTTACCTACCTACCTACCTACCTACCTTACCTACCTACCTACACCTACCTACCTACCTTACCTACCTACCTTACCTACCACCTTTCCTACTACCTACCTACCTACCTACTACCTACCTACCTACCTACCTTACCTACCTACCTACCTATTACCTACCTAAACCCACCTTACCTACCTACCTTACCTACCTACCTACCTACCTACCTTACCACTACCTACTACCTACCTACCTACCTACCTACCTACCTACTACCTTACCTACTACTACCTACCTACCTTACCTACCTACCTTACCTAACCTACCTACCTACCTACCTACTACCTACCTACCTACTACCTACCTACCTACCTACCTACCTACCTACCTACCTACCTTACCTTACCTTACCTACCTACCTACCTACCTACCTTACCTACCTACCTTTACCTTACCTACCTACCTACCTCTACCTTACCTACCTTACCTACCTACCTACCTTACCTTACCTACTACCTATACCTACCTTACCTTACCTTACCTACCTACCTACCTTACCTACCTACCTACCTTACCTTAAACCTACCTACCTACCTACTACCTTACCTATACCTTACCTTACCTATAACACCTATAATTAATTAGGTAGTCCTTAGCTACCTTACTATACCTTATTTAACGTAATACCTGTACATTATTTACATATCTGTACCTTTTCTCTCTACTTCGTAGTCTTCTAACTCTTACATTAGTCCAACCTAACATTACCTGCTACTAATACCAACCTGCCTCCTTACTATACCACATTATTTCATATTAGTGAGTTGGAACAGCAACCCCCAGGAGGGTATGCTGTGTGAGGCGACTAAAGTGCAGGTACAAGCGGAGAACCTGCTTGTTTTTAAATGATGGTAGGATTGCTGTGTCTTTTTTTCTGCTCTAAACATGCAGCATTTCAGGTATCGTTTGCTACTTCTACTTAACAACTTAGTCACACATACACAACATGTACAAGCGTATATATACACACACCCCTCTGGGTTTTCTTCTATTTTCTTTCTAGTTCTTGTTTATTTTCTCTTATCTCCGTGGGGAAGTGGAACAGAATTCTTCCTCCGTAAGCTATGCGTGTTGTAAGAGGCGACTAAAATGCCGGGAGCAAGGGGCTAGTAACCCCTTCTCCTGTATAAATTATCTAAATTTGAAAAGAGAAACTTTTGTTTTTCTTTTTGGGCCACCCCGCCTTGGTGGGATACGGCCGGTTTGTTGAAAGAAGAAGAATACAATATAATAGTAATAATAATAATAACAGTAAGGAGAAACTTCAAAAGCCTGCCAGTAGTTGGCACCACCATCAGCAAAACATTGGTAACCACTACAAGTACATTTTTCACCTGTCTAAACTTAGTAGTCTTAAGTAGTATTAGGTTAAGTCTACCTGAAATGCCTTGGCATGATAGTGGCTTTCTTTACTCCAATCATGTTATGATATGTAAACACACATTGTAACCTTTGCAAAGAAATAAATATTTTATTTATTTATTTAATATCGGAAAGTTTTCAGTTTGTGTAATAGCTTGTTTATAATTGTTTCTGCAGGGTGTTATGGTATGTGGTGGTTTTCCTGCATTATGGGCTGCATCAGGAAGGTTATCAGCATGGTTGGGCTTCACCACTGGTACAGAGATACCTCAGACTGTAACATTTGTGTGTTTAGGATCACTCCTAAACACCATTGTCAGCCTTCCTTGGTCAGCATATTTTACATTCAAGGTCGAGCAGAAACATGGCTTCAACAAACAGGTGAGTAAGATTTTCTCTGCAGAGATACGGAATAGTTTTTAATAATATTTTACAGTTTCAGATATTTCACTAATAAATAAAATATTACTCTTAAACTTGTTACAGTAGTGTATGGCAACTGTATGGTTGCCCAGTTAGATCATCATATGACATCAGGGCCTTTATATTGTTGATACCCTCAAGATCCTCCCTTTACTTGGATAGGACACAATTGCCTCACATACTCCAGGCACAAATGACCCCTACAGGTTTAGTGCCTGACCAGTCAAAAAAAATGTGGCATTGATTTGTGTACCTCATTCCATACAATAATGGTACAGTATAATAGTAAGGTTTAACATGTTAAACAAAATTGAAATCTTTTCTCTGCTTAGTATATACAGTCAGAAATTTATTAAATACAGTATATTGTATAATCTTGGCACTAACAGCACATATGAGATTTTTCTTTTTAACAGTGGCTGTCTTCTACCAAGGCAGGGGTGAGGTGAAGAAAGCACATTCACCAATATTCACTCAATTACCTTCTTTCCAGAAGTGTTCTAACAACACAATCAGATTATCCTTCCAGCTGCAGCATCCCCATCCCTTTTTAAAAGTGCAGGCACTGCCCTTTCTACCTCCAGGACTCAAGTCTGGCTAATTCAGTGCTCACACTGAACAGCATGTCCATTAAAGACCACTTTTCTCCATGCATTTCTATCTGATATTCTCACCTAATATAGGTAGTAGGTTGGTAAACAGCAGCGCCTAGGGAGGTACTACCATCCTGCCAAGTGAGTGTAAAACGAAAGCCTGTAATTGTTTTACATGATGGTAGGATTGCTGGTGTCCTTTTTTCTGTCTCATAAACATGCAAGATTTCAGGTACGTCTTGCTACTTCTATTTACACTTAGGTCACGCTATGCATACATATACAAGCATATATACACACACCCCTCTGGGTTTTCTGCTATTTTCTTTCTATTTCCTGTTCTTGTTTATTTCCTCTTATCTCCATGGGGAAGTGGAACAGAATTCTTCCTCCGTAAGCCATGCGTGTTGTAAGAGGCAACTAAAATGCCGGGGGCAAGGGGCTAGTAACCCCTTCTCTTGTATAAATTGCTAAATTTAAAAGAGAAACTTTAGTTTTTCTTTTTGGGCCACCCTGCCTTGGTGGGATACGGCCGGTTTGTTGAAAAAAAAAATTCTCACCTAAGCCTGTGGGATGCTCAAGTCCCTAAAACTCAGTCTCTTGTACCCCTTCTACCTTCCACCCAGATTTTTACTCTCTCTTCATTAACCTATCCCTGTCTCTCTTCTCTGTATGCTTTGAATTACTGTATACCCTTGGTCATCTTATTTCTTTCAACAAACTGACCATATCCCACCTAGGCAGGGTGGCCCAAAAAGAAGAACAAAAGTTTCTCTTTTAACTTTAGTAATGTATACAAGAGAAGGGGGTTACTAGCCCGTTGCTCCTGGCATTTTAGTCACCTCTTAAGAAATGCATGGCTTACGGAGGAAGAATTCTGTTCCACATCCCCATGGAGATAAGAGGAAATAAACAAGAACAAGAACTAGTAAGAAAACAGAAGAAAACCCAGAAGGGTGTGTATATATATGCTTGTACATGCATGTGTAGTGTGACCTAAGTGTAAGTAGAAGTAGCAAGATGTACCTGAAATCTTGCATGTTTCTTCTTCTTTCAACACACCGGCCGTATCCCACCGAGGCGGGGTGGCCCAAAAGGAAAAACGAAAGTTTCTCCTTTTACATTTAGTAATATATACAGGAGAAGAGGTTACTAGCCCCTTGCTCCCGGCATTTTAGTTGCCTCTTACAACACGCATGGCTTACGGAGGAAGAATTCTGTTCCACTTCCCCATGGAGATAAGAGGAAATAAACAAGAATAAGAACTAGAAAGAAAATAGAAGAAAACCCAGAGGGGTGTGTATATATGTGCTTGTACATGTATGTGTAGTGTGACCTAAGTGTAAGTAGAAGTAGCAAGACGTACCTGAAATCTTGCATGTTTATGAGACAGAAAAGACACCAGCAATCCTACTATCATGTAAAACAATTACAGGCTTTCATTTTACACTCACTTGGCAGGACAGTAGTACCTCCCTGGGCAGTTGCTGTCGACCAACCTACTATTTAACTTGGTCATTTCATATTGTCTTTTAATTTCTAGACTGAATTCTCTGCACGACATTCACTCCATGCCTCACACCCATATAAAAGTGTTGGTACCACTATACTCTGGTACATTCCCATTTTTACCTCTACAGATAAACTTCATTTGTTCCATAGATATAAACATGACCCATCTTTTTTTCCTCCCATCATTTATTCTGTGGTTCACCTCATCTTTCATAGACCCATCCTTTGACATGTTCACTCACAAATAACTAAATGTATCCACTTCCTCCATACTCCTTCCCTCTAATCTAATATTCAGTCTTTCATTGCTTAAACTTTTTGTTACCCTCATCACTTTGCCTTTTTTTTATGTTTGCTTTTAATTTTTTTTTACATTCCCTCCCAAAATTATCCACCAACCATTGTAATTCATTTTACAATCCCCAAAAAGTACTGTCATCAGCAAAGAGCAACTGTGATAACTCCCTTTTTGTATCAAATCTTGCACCCTAGCATTTACTTCTTTCTTAAACCTATATATAAATATGTTAAACAACTATGTAAAGAATGAATAATTATCAGTGTATGCTTTAACAAATTCAGTTTCAACAGTAAAAATCTAGAAACAAATTAAAATATGTTGGGAGGATATTATGATACTGTAATTATATTTTTGCTTTTATATTTTTTCTCCTGATTCTTTGGCAGACTCCATGGTTCTTCATAAAGGACAAGCTGAAAAAATTTGTTGTGTCACAGATCATTTGTGCACCAGTTGTATCAGGCTTGGTCTACATCATAAGGGTAAGGTGCCCTGAAATATTGTTCTGTATTATTACCCTTATTTCTGTTGATTATTACATGATTTTTTGTTTAAATAGCTGCCTCTCTCTATACATATTTTATGCTGTAAAATCATTGTGGATTAAACAGCAGGGTGCTAGGTATAGAGTTTTTGTCTCTTGTTATACTGTACACTACACAAATAACCCTCTACTGCCACTACTCCACTTCCTACTTGCTTCTTCCTCTTTGTCCTTTCCCTGCCCTCTCATATATATACTGGCTCCCTTACCTTCATGTGTTAGCGTGACTAGTTAATGGCCCAAGTCAGATTGAAATGTTGTCATATAGTTTCTTTCTCCTTGGTCTACATCATAAGGGTAAGGTGCCCTGAAATATTATTCTGTATTATTACCCTTATTTCTGTTGATTATTACATGATTTTTTGTTTAAATAGCTGCCTTTCTCTACATTTTATGCTGTAAAATCATTGTGGATTAAACAGCAGGGTGCTAGGTATAGAGTTTTTGTCTCTTGTTATACTGTACACTACACAAATAACCCTCTACTGCCACTACTCCACTTCCTACTTGCTTCTTCCTCTTTGTCCTTTCCCTGCCCTCTCGTATATATACTGGCTCCCTTACCTTCATGTGTTAGCGTGACTAGTTAATGGCCCAAGTCAGATTGAAATGTTGTCATATAGTTTCTTTCTCCTTTGTGCAGGTTATTTGTGTATTATTCCAGTCACAGTATTGTGCCTTTGTGTTCTTTATACTGTACAGTGTGTGTGCACTAAGTATTTAAGTGATAAACAAGATAGCATTTATGATGAAAGGGGTTATAAGGATCAGATCCTTGCAGTGAAACAGCTAGTGGGGGAAAGGCATTTGAGAAAGGCTGTACAATATATATGATCTTTGTAGATCTGGAGAATCGAGGACTCAAGTAAAGTATAAGTGTCCCTCACTTTATGTGGTAGATGTGTTTCAGACACTTAGTTCGTTTGTCAGCAGCTGTAGTAATCTAAAGGCACACAACATCCACTGCCCTTCCTGTATGGTTTGCAAACTATATATCGAATGCATAAAAGTGACTTAATGATTGCACACAGGGAATCAGTGGTAGAAATGGGCTCATTGCATAAAAAAGGAATTTGTATGTAGTAAAGGATTACTGTATTAAATATGTATTGAGGTTTAGTATTGTTGATAAATGCTTTTGAAGCATTTATGAAAGGAGCAGGGAGAGAATAAGAAATAAAGAAATTAGAGGGTCGAGTGATAATGGAAGAGGTGTTATTGTAATGATTTTGTTGTATAAAAAGAATAGAGTAGGCTAGGTTGATTAAGATGGGTATCATGGAGGCTTTAACTGCTACAAACATGTTTTCAGTTTTAGATCCTATTATTACATTTATACAGGCAGGCCCTGTTTTTGTGGATGTTAGGTTCCCAACCCTTGCTGATAAACGAAAATCGCCAGTGAGTGGAAAAGAGCGTTTTTTTCAATATCGAATGCATCTAAAATACCTCATAATGTGTTTACACTATCATATATTAAGTGCTCAATACGGCTAGACAAAAAAAAAAGATACAAAAGTGCAATACGGTGGGTGGTATATGGTTACTGCTACAATAGTAGAACAGAGCTATATATACATTTTCAGTGTGTATATGTTATACTGTACAGGGGTAGCAGGTTGCAGACTTGTCTTTGTGTTTCAACTACCTTGGGAATTGAACTCTGGTCATTTAGCAACATGATAGTTTCTGACCACATGCTTTATTTTGTCTTCATGAATTTCTTTGATGGGTCTTTGTTATGAATGGAACCAAGGTGCCCTAGACTTATCTTATTGGTATTATAATCATTTATATGATTTGCATTCACAAAGTTAGGGCAAGATTCTTTAATAATTTTGCTAATTAAAATTTCAGGCTGGTGGAGACTACTTTTTTCTGTACCTATGGGGTTTTACAATGGTGGTTGTGATGTTCTTCATGACAGTCTATCCAGATTACATAGCACCACTTTTTGACAAGTATGAACCCCTTCCAGAGGGTGACCTCAGAACCAAAATAGAAGCATTAGCAGCACAGATAGAATTTCCTCTAACTAAGCTTTATGTTGTTGAAGGTAAGTATTTTATTTTAAAAGGTAATTGGTTTACATTTATAAAAAATTCCTCAGCTGATCTTTCTATCCATTTTTTTTAATGGGAGATCTGTTAACTTCATTAGCATTGAAGGTCACATGAGCACTACTGGTCATAGATATATTTGACTCAGGCATTCGGGTAAACTGGTCATCCTGGCTGGGTTGCTTGGTTAAAAGTCCTTGAAACCAATCACAAATCTTTCACAGGTAGACATGAAATTATAGTACAGTATTGCATACTGAAGGATGCATAAGGTTGTAGCAGTTTGATAATTCATTAGGATTGTGATGTTCATGCTCTTCTGAAAGTAGATGTAGTTTTCAGCCACTTTGTGATCTGAGAAAGGTATCCCATAAGCTCAGCCCCCCTCTACCTCAATGCATGCAAAAAAAAAAAAAAATAGCACAAGGAGCAGCATAGGTTTCTAATTTGTTTAAATATTGGCATTGAAGATTGGAAGTCAGAAGAGGCAAGAACACATGGTCACATGCATAAAGTATAAATCTTTATTACAAAAGAAAATTATTGCCATTTGCAATGCTCTTTCTAGAGCAGTACAATACCTGTATATGAAGAAAACTAGGTTTGGAAGTGCACATAATTTTGTTACCAGTAACTAGGTGTTCCTCTTAAGTTTTCAGATTAGATGTGGCAGAAATGATTTTAAGATATTCAAAACTTCTTTGTTCACACAGGAAACAAACAATATTCTATATGAATAATTTGCATATTTCATATTTTTCAGGTTCAAAAAGATCAGCTCACAGCAATGCCTATTTTTATGGTTTCTTTAAGAATAAGCGCATTGTTTTGTATGACACATTGCTCGAGGAATACACTCCACTTAATGAAAAAGAGGAAGAAAATGAAGAGACCAAGGTATCAAATAAGCAAGAAAATGGAGGTAAGAAGACTGGATGCAATACAAGTGAAGTGTTGGCTGTTTTGGGCCATGAGCTTGGTCACTGGAAGCTGAATCATGTTTTAAAAGGCATCATTATCTCTCAGGTGAGTGTCTATGATAAATAAGCTCTTTGGTATTACATATAAAACAAGCTTAAGACTTTTAAAAAACACAGTATGTAGCGACATTCATAAGTGCCATGATTTATCATTAGGGCACTTACGAATGTCGATCTGCATTTAGGATCGTTGTTGTTGTTAATTTTTTTTTTTTTTCTTAATGGACATCTTCCACCAAGGCAGGGTGACCAAAAGATGAAAATATTCATCATTCATTCATTCATTTGCGTTTTTCAAGAGGTGTGCTGATATCACAATTCAAATTACCATCTGACTGCAACATCCCCATCCCTTCTTCAGAGTGCAGGCACTGCCCTTCTTACCTCCAGGACTCAAAACCAGCTAAAAGTTACTTTGCTCACACTGCAACAGCACATCCATTAAAAACCACTTGTTTCTGCACCTGTCTAACTTGCTCATGCAAGTTTGCTGAATACTCAAGCCTCTAAAACTCAAAGCTTCTTTTATCCCTCCGTTCAGCTGTATCTGGGATGACGACCCATACCCATCATACTTTCCACCCTTGATTTATACATTTTCTTCGTCCTATCCCTTTCATCTTCTCAACATCCCCTTCTCAGTTCTATGATTTATACCACTGGTTACCCTACATCACCTTGTAATTTATATGGGTTAGATTCTCTGCAAGATATTCACACCACACATTGCTCTCATACGTGACATCTCCACTGCCTCTAGCTGCCTCCTCACAATTCAGATTCATTGTTATAGCCTCACAATATTTTAAAACTTACGTGGGTGGGTTGTTGCCAGAGAGCCTGAGGGAGGAGATGTGACCATAGGGAAGTGGGGATTATTGGGGTACTGGCAGGAGCTGCATTCCTTTCTCTCCTTACCCTAACAAGGTTATGGTAATACTCATACCACATCCCTCCTTCCCATGATATGATAGGAAAGGGTGGCAGTAAATGTGAGAGTTAGACGAGTGATGGAAAAAGGTAAGGGAATAGGAGAAAGGTATTGAGATGTAAGGGAAGAAAGAGGAAAGATACAGGGAGGGATTCTCCTTGCTAATATGGCGGATTAGGTTCCAGACCACCGCCATAAAGCAAACATTGCCTTAAAGTGTACTGCAGCCTTTTTTCACTTGCTAGTGAAAAAAGGCAGCCTAAAAACATGTTTATAATATGATTTATTAAGTTCCCAGTAGTGCTAGGACTAAAAAACGATGCAAAAGTAAAAATACTAAATAAAAATAATGCATCACTGCCAAACACCATCTTAAGAGCAAGGCAAGCACTGAAAATAATAAACATGAATATGTATAATTGAAAAGCTCCGTATTAGCAAAACACACTGACATTAAAACAAAATGCACAGTACACCTGTATTGTGCATTGTGTTTTAATGTCAGTTAAAAAATTTTGAAATTAGATGTAAAATATTATGGGTTTAGAATGCATCTTCAGTAAAACCTGGTTGGGAACCCTAAAATTGAAAGTGTTGATAATTGTGATACAGGAGAGCTCCCACTTTATGGCGCTTCACTTTACAGTGATCTGCTAATACGGACATTTCAAATTATATCCCAAAATTTGTTTACAAGGCTCTTGATTTGCTATTATGGTATCCACACACCACCTGTTCATTCTGTTTACATCTTCCGTGAGCTCTGCATCTCTCCCGATTATGTGTGGAAACTGAAAAATTTCAATTGTTTTAAAGTTATTGTGTATTTTATATATACAGCCTCTCCTCACTTAACGATGGAGTTCTGTTCTTAAGACCATGTAGGTAAATGAATTCATCGCAAAGTGAGGAGCATACTATAATGGTAGTGGGTTTGTGTCAACCATCTTTGATATTGTTTTAATGTCACCTTTGCACCATTTATAACATTTCTGGTATATTTTTAAATGTTTATACAGTAGTGTACTGTATACTCAAATAAACAGAATAGAAGAAACCAGCTCTAATATACATTATTTAGGTATGAATACTGGTCAGAGAGCCTATTGTAAGTCTGAGGCATCGGTAAACGAGTACGTTGCTAAGTAAGGAGAGGCTGTACATTATTTAGGTATGCATACTGGTGAGAGAGCCCATCATAAGTCTGAGTTGTTGGTAAACGAGTACATCACTAAGTGAGGAGAGGCTGTATACTCTTCTTGTGTTACAATGACTTATAATTAGTGATACCAGGGAGTAAAACATTCCTGTTGAAATACAAAGAGGTGCAAAATCTTGAGGAAATACAAAAAGTGTACAGTTTTGTAGAAATATAATAAACAGTGTATAGTTGTTGGTACTTATTGTGATGGAGTGACGTATACAGTGTGTGGTAAACCTGTAGTTAGCAGCGGTCGCAATATACACAACGAAAATCATTATTCCTCCAGTAATCTCCATGTATTGAAGCCATCGGTGCCCAAACACACAAGTTATACTTTCTGTATCAAACTGAACACATATTACTGTTTAATTTTTTTTTCAGTAGTCCTTTTATGAGCTAGTCCAATATCACCCAGTGAGCTAATCTGGATCTGCCCGGATTCATCCAATGACCGGATTCAAACGGATTCGTTGATAACAATGTATCCTCTGACTGGTTTCACTAACTAACAGGGCTCTACGTGCCCTATCAAACACTCAAACAATAACTACAACAAATAGTTACAATACAGATGGACAGATCTACTGTTAAGGTGCTTATTAGGAAAAAGATAGTGATCCACTAGCTGGATTATACCGTATTCGCTGGATTCGGGCTGATTCAAACAGATTTCGCTGGATTCGGGCGGATTCAAACGGTTTCGTTGGAAATAGTTGTCTAATATTGCTAAGATGAACACTACCATGAAGATCTGTGTAGTCTGCAGAAAGGATAAGGGACAAAGACAGGCCTGGATTGCTTGCCATCTGTGTGGTCAGTGGTCCCATAGTATATGCAGGGATTTTAAACTAGTAACCACACTTCACATGAACTCAGAGAGATGTTTTTGGGTCTGCACAAACGAGATACACCTGTATGAGGAAATGACATCTATATTAAAAGACAAGAACACCAATAAAACATCCTTCTTGAAAGACATGTCAGCATGGTATGACAGCTGGGAAAAAAAGATGGGTGGTAGGGATGAGGCTCTCTTGGATAGTGCTCCTGAGGGGGCTAGTGCTGTCCTGGAGGACAGTGCTGAGGGTGGTAGTGTTGTCCTGGAGGAAAGTGCTCCAGAGGGTCCTAGTGATGTCTTAGAAGATAGAACTCGTGAGGGTACTAGTGTTGTCCTGGAGGACACTGAAGACAACCTTATTCAGTCTACAGAGGTTCAAAATAGAGATGCTGCTGGAGATGGATCAAAATGGGATGAGGCCTTAGGGAATAGTGTCAACACACTACCAGCAAAACCTGGTGGAAGCACTGATGTCCATACAGGGGTAAAAGATACTGAGGAAACAGGAAAAATAAATGCACCAGCAGTAAATGCAGCTACACTAAATCCTAGCAAACAGAAGTACAATCTATGTAAGTACTATGCCTTGGGTATCTGCAGGTACGTATATCTGGTAAAACGGGTGGGACATGCACCTTTGACCATCCCAAAAAATGCCGCACCCACATGACAACAGGAGAGTGCAACTTCCCTTCTTGCAACCTTTTTCACCCAGAAATGTGTCACTCATCAATCCATGAAAGAAAATGCTACAATGCATACTGCAGGCACATCATCTAAAGGGGACTAGAAGACACAGACCAGCCAGACTATGGGAAACAAAAGAGAGGAGCACAACCTCTCCAGGGACAGGTTTTTTAGGGCCACAAGGGAAAAGACTGGCAGGAAATGACGGCAATCTTACACCACCTGAAAACACTTTTGGAGCAGAGGCACGGACATTGGCCTCTACCCCAGAACAACAGATATTAGAGTCAGCAAATAACCCCCCTCCCCTAAATTCCACCAATACAACATTTGTCTTTGCACACATACAGGGTCCAAAGCTGTCAAAAAACAACAAAATTCCTTGCATCAAGGGACTGCTCACAGAGTCAAATGCAATGTTTGTAGCATTCACAGAGACCCACATAAAGGATCATTATGACAATGAAATATGGATCCCAGGTTATAACCTATTCCGATGCGACAGACTAAACAGGCAACAAGGGTGGGGGGTTGGCCTGTATGTCACAGAGTCGCTCATTTGCACAGAACTACTAAACACCTCAAATGATGTAGTTGAAGTTTTGGCGAAAAAATATTGAAAACCAAAACCTTGTCATTGTGGTAGTATACAAACCTCCAGATGCAACTTCCCAGCAATTCCAGGAGCAGCTTGAGAAAATTGACCACTGTCTGGAAAATCTCCCAACTCCTGCCCCAAACATCTTACTACTAGGAGATTTCAACCTGAGACACCAAAAATGGGGAGTATGGCAAACAATGTTTTAGCAGAGATCACCCCAGGAGGCAGCTCAGATGAAAATTCACACACACATGAACTACTAAATCTCTGCAACAAATTCACCTTAAACCAGCAAACAGTAGAGCCTACAAGACTAGAAAATACGCTGGTTCTCATCTTCATTAACAGTGATGATCTGATATGTAATATAACTGTATCAAAGACAATTCACTCAGATCACAACATAATAGAGGTACAGACATGTATGCACAGGGCTCCGGACCAGCAAAATGTGAACAGTCATGAAGGTCTCTTCACGAAATTCAATTTCAATAACAAAAACGTACAATGGGACCAAGTAAACCATGTCCTAAAGGAAACAAGCTGAGAAGATATCCTAAACAACACAGACCCAAGCATCTGCCTTGTAAAAATGAATTCTGTGGTTCTTGAGATCTACTCAAGACACATTCCATTAAGAAAAAAAGAAAGAGAGAGATGTGTCCTATACAGACAAAGGCGAAGAGTCACAGAGCTGCTGAGTGGGGTCAATATATCTGAAATACGAAGGGAAGCACTAGTCAATGAAATTGCAAATATCAAACTTAAGCTGAAGGAATCTTATA